TTTTTTTCTTCTCTTCTTAATAATATGAAAACAAGGACCTAAAATTTTCAGACAACTTGGTAAGGGACAGGCTTTACAGGGAATCAAAGCAAAATAATGTATGAAAATTTAGGAAGCATAACAAGACATTGGTTCTTTGGGGTTTGGCCAAAAATGCCAATGATTGTTATTCTTTTTATAAAGAACATTTATTATTGTTTTTATTTTGACACAAATTTTTGTGTGGACAGACATAGCTATGAGGTTGGTCGACCTGACATACTTTGTGAATAAAGTGACTAATAATTATACCATTAAATAAATGTTATAATTCTATTTTTAAGTATGATTTCTTTGGGGTGTTTTAAGCATGCACCGTATTAGGTTATAAATTAAAAGAGACAAGTCCGTCTACTAAATGTCCAAATGTACCTCACAAAGTTGTAATTACTTTAGTGGCCTATGTACTTATTTCTTGAACCCATATGGCCCTAATAATAATAATAATTTATATTAATAATAATGATAGAAAGGCTCATGCCAGAAAAAACCTAATGATTAGGTAGTCATATTATTTTTTTTAATAGATGTGTATACATTCAAATTAAAATGATCTAACCTGACAAACAATATAAACAAAAGTATGACATTTCATCACAGACGTATGTTTTTTGCTATAAATGTATAATGAATCGACCAGTCTATTGATTGGGTTGCCTCAAACAAATTTTTTATATACTAATAATAATTAGTATGGTATTAATTGAGATAAATACACAAAGTCACAAACTTTCGTTGACTTTGACCAACGGTAATTTCTACGCAGGTCACCACATATTAGATGAAAATGGTGACAGGTGAATCTTAATATATAGTGAGTAATTACAATATTTCACTCTCACACATTTCTATTTTTTGTCAATGAATTGAGGTGGTGATTGTTTAGTTTGGTTAGGGTTGAAGTCAATTTTCATAATGGACTTGCCATCTTAAATTAAAGAGACCTCTAAACGTGCATTGCATTTAATTTGATGGCTTAACTCGCTTTTGCGTAAGTCTAATTTCTCATCAATGCCTTTAATTCAATCTGTCGGGAGCGTGCTTTGCCATTGCTCCTCGTATTATTGCACTAAACAGGACATTTTTTTTTTTTTTTTTTTTTTGCAAATCTAAACAGAACATTAATACCCCCTTACAACACGTGTCAAAAGGTTATTTGTGAAACCCAGTTGAGTTTTATGTTGTACGTTGGAAAATGGTGAGACAAAAATGAAAAGTAAGATATTTTTCTAGGTGGTGAATGTATATAAAATAAAAATATAATGATTTGAGTTGATGTGGCAAAAAATAATAAAATATATATTTTTTTAATGGTTGGTACATTTAGAAATGTGTGGAGAGATGTTGTATCCTGTTGTATAAGTGGAACTATAGAGGAAAATACAGGATGAAATGAATAATGCGTTCTACGAATAAATTTTGTTTGCATCTCATAATTTTAAGGTGAAAAATGCTGACGGGCCAGACAAAAATATGCATTTTATTTTGTATTCAGTCTCTGTCTTGTAAAATTCAAAATATCATCGACACGCGTTAAATAAGTTTTATCGGATCTCCTATTAATTAATTTGTCTACAAATTTTTTTCATTAAAAAATAAAATTAAACTGTTGCACAAAATATTTGTAAATGTAAAAGAATAAGTCAATGAATGAAAATTTTCATTTACAGTGGA